CGATGGAAGACATGCCTCTGGTTTCAGGTTTGACTTTGTCTACAGGTGAAACATCAAGCTGTGACCTACTACTATGCTGTTTTGACACTGGACTTCAGCTTGAGGTCTGATCCCCTGAAACAAATATAATAAAATCTCAATCAAGGTAGTGACGCATTAGCCACTCAACTATATATTTATATGTCTCAAAAGTAATCACTCATTTTTGCAGGCCTCTGCAGGTCCTTGTGTCATGGCTGATTACTTGACTGCGATGACCTCTGGACAACAGGAGGCTCGCCAGTGTCGGGACACCTGACTACAAAGTAAAGGACAGTGTTGGGACACCTGTGTACTTGCGGCCAGTGTCGGGACACCTGTGTACTTGCGGCCAATGTCGGACTCCTGTGTACTTACAGGCAATGTCGGGACACACGTGTACTTGCGGGCAATGTGGGGACACAAGTGTATTTGCGGGCAATGTGGGGACACACGTGTACTTGAGGGCAGTGTCAGGACACCTGCGTAGTTACGGGCAGTGACGGGACCCTTGTGTACTTGCCGGCAGTGTCGGGACACCTGTGTTCTTGCCGGCAGTGTCGGGACACCTGTGTACTTGCGGGCAGTGTCGGGACACCTGTGTTCTTGCGGGCAGTGTCAGGACACTTGTGTACTTACGGGCAGTGTCGGGACACCTGTGTACTTGCGGGCAGTGTCGGGACACCTGTGTACTTACAGGTAATAGGGACACCTATGTACTTGTGGGCAGTGTCGGGACACCTGTGTACTTGCGGGCAGTGTCGGGACACCTGTGTACTTACAGGTAATAGGGACACCTATGTACTTGTGGGCAGTGTCAGGACACCTGTGTACTTGCGGGCAATGTCAGGACACCTGTGTACTTGTGGGCAATATCGGGACACCTGTGTACTTGTGGGCAGTGTCGAGACACATGTGTACTTGTGGGCTGTGTCGAGACACCTGTGTACAGTGAAACCCACGAGCACGGGTATGGTGCTAACAAACCTAGAAACATAATTGGGGCGAACCGGTATTCGAACCCACAATCATAGGTTTCTGGTGTGTTCAAGTGAAGCAACTCTGCACAGCGAATCGCGGCGCCTAAGACCACTGGGCCATCCGTGCCCCATCTCGTTTGAACACTGAAGAAACCTTGTCAGAAGCGAAATGTTTATAATCATTATTACAGGTAGTATTAAGGCTACAGTTGTAATGCAACCGTTGTATCCAGATAAACACACACTAGCATGTACCAACACGCACCTGCATTTCGTCTTAACCCCAATGTACCGCATCCGTGGTCTAGGGGTAGAGCGTCCGCCCGGAGAGCGGAAGGTCCGGGGTTCGATCCCCGGCCGCGTCATACCAAAAGACGTTAAAAGATGGTAATTGTTGTTACCCTGTCTGGCGCTCGGCATTAAGGGGCTAAAACATGGACTGGTCAGCTCGGAGTCAGTATAATGTGTCTGAGTGGGGCATTCATGTTAAACTGCGGCATAGTATCTCAGTGTGCTAGCACTATAAATCGGCATCAGTCCGGACTAGTACAAGCAGCCACACACACACACACACACACACACACACACACACACGTCCATGCACGTTGCTATATAAGTGCAATCATCTTGGACGCGACGTTAAACCCAATATCACCTCACCACATCTTAACCCCAATGTAGTCATGTGCGGAAGAGGAGGTTGACGTCAGAGCCGCAGCTGTCCAACATGACGTCATGCCATGTCGTGGAGGAGATGGTGGGAAGGGATGATGTGGACAAAGGGAGACAATTCAGTAACGAGCATCCCTGGTTCAGTGTGAGTGAGTTTGTATTACGCAGCTTTCCGCTGTATATCAGTTTTATAAGGTTGTTTCAGCTTTATGTTTGGAAAAGCTCAATGTTATGCACGTCTTATATTTACTACTTTGGTGAAACCCCCGAACAGGGTATATGCTGACAAACCAAGGATCATAACTGCAGCGAAAGTTGCGATTCGAACCCACTACCATTGGTATAAAGGTGCAACTCTACACTGAGAATCGCGGCGCCTTAGACGACTTGGAAGGGGGCACGGGAGGTCTAGTCGTCTAAGGCGCTGCGGTTCTCTGTGCAGAGTTGCGTCCCTTCGGCACGCCTGAATACAATGATTATGGGTTCGAATCCTGGTTCGCCCCCCGATTATGTTTCTAGGTTTGTCAGCACCATACCCGTGCTCGTGGGTTTCACCGAAGTGGTAAACGTCTGAGACCTGCATCACTTCGGGTTTTCCTCCCACATTAAGATGACACGCCGCGATATAACTGGATTATTGTTAAAAGACGCGTAAAACCCAACTCACTCACTCACTAGACGACTTGGCCTCCTCCGTGGACCAGCTGATTTAGTGCTATTCAGTAAGGTCTTTGATAAAACAAAAAGTAAAGTTATAATAGTGCTCCATGTGCGGTAGTGGAGATGGTGGCGTTGTTTCCACGTTAAACAAGAGTCCCCGATCACACCTTGACTGACGTTGTGAGTTCAGCTACTCTTATATAATTCCTACACTTGTTGCAAGTCGGGCTGAAGAAATACAGGAAATAAAGAGAATCACTTTGATCAAAGATAGATTGACAAAGGTGAATAATTACACTCCATGTAAAGGATAAAGCACGTCCGTGGATGTTTCTGATATTTAAAACCTGCTTCCGCGGGATAAAACAGAGAGGCGTCAGGATAAGGTTCTTAAAATTGTCAATCACAAGATTTCAATCGACTATCTACTGATCGCTGTCATGAAGCTTGAATATTGCTGAGTGCGGCGTTAAACAAAAAACAAACAAACACATCCTACCCACCCATCACTAGCATCCAACCCACCCATACCTAATCCCAAGGCCCCGTCCTTCTCACAAACACCTACCTGACGTCCACAGATCCCCTACAGTCTGCCATCCCAAGTCCAGATCCCTCTCCCTCCTACATACATCAACGCCCTACACAACCTCTCTATCCAGGTCGTAGATGCAGGCAAAGACGTTGCAGTTACTCACCAAGACACGCGACCAGCAGCTGGACCCTCCAGCGTCCCGACATGATGTGACGTTCTTTTACCTGTCCGTCAGTCAGTGTACTCCTGCTGTACCTGTGTTGTACCTGTGTTGTACCTGTCTTGTACCTGTGTTGTACGTGTGTTGTACGTGTGTTGTACGTGTGTTGTACCTGTGTTGTATTTGTGTTGTACCTGTGTTGTACCTGTGTTGTACCTGTGTTGTACGTATGTTGTACGTGTGTTGTACCTGTGCTATACCTGTGTTGTACCTGTGTTGTACGTGTGTTGTACATGTGTTGCACGTATGTTGTACGTGTGTTGTACCTGTGTTGTACGTGTGAGGTACCTGTGTTGTACCTGTGCTGTACGTGTGCTGTACCTGTGTTGTACGTGTGTTGTACCTGTGCTGTACGTGTGCTGTACCTGTGTTGTCCATGTGCTGTACCAGTGTTGTACCTCTGTAGTACCTGTGTAGTACCAGTGTTGTACGAGTGTTATACCTTTGCTCTACGTGTGGTGTACCTGTGCTATACGTGTGTTTTACCTGTGTTGTACGTGTGTTGTACCTGTGTTGTACCTGTGCTGTACATGTGTTGTATCTGTGTTGTACGTGTGTTGTACGAGTGTTGTACCAGTGTTGTACCTGTGCTGTACCTGTGTTGTACCTGTGTTGTACCTGTGTTATACCTGTGGCGTACCTGTATTGTACCTTTGCTGTACCTGTGTTGTGCCTGTATTGTACGTGTGTTGTACGTGTGTTGTACCTATGTTGTACCACACCACACCACCAAACATCACGCCACACCATTTCACTTCAGACCACGCAACAACACACCTCAACACAACACAACACACCGTTTCATTCATTCCCACACCACCCCTCTCGACACCACACCACACCACACAACACCATTTCACTCGACCCCACCCGACACCACTTCACACCATTTCACCCAACACCACCCCAAACCACACCACCCCAGAACACACCACACCAAACAACGCCACACCACCCACTTTCACTCAACTCCGACCCACACACCACACCACACCACACCACCCTTTCACTCCAACCCACTCCACACCACCCCAAAATACATCACAAGGCACCACACCACCAAATAACACACCACATCTCACCATTTCACTCCACACCACACCACCCCACACCACACCACACCATTTCACTCCACACCACCCATTACCACCTCACACCACACCACCCCACCCAACCCCATTTCACTCCACCCCATCCGTCACTAGACCACCCCACACAACCCTACAACATACCACACCACACCATTTCAAGCCACACCACACCACACCACACAACACCACACCATTTCACTCCACCCCACCCCACCACACACACCCTACAACACACCATATCACACCACCCACATCAAACCATTTCAATCCACCCCACACCATACCACACCATTTCACTCCACCCCACCTTACACCACACCATCCCATTTCTACCAATCCCACACCTCACCACGCCACACCACACCATTTCACCCCACACCACCCCTGACCACCTAACACCACATCACACCACACCACACAAAACCATTTATATCCACCCCACCCCATCCCACCCCACACCACACCACACCACCCCACACCATAGTAAAAATCACATCATATCACATTACACCACACCACTCCACACCACACCACACCACACCACACCACACCACACCACACCACACCACACCAAACCACACCACACCACACCAAACCACACCACACCACACCACACCACACCACACCATTTCACTCCACCCCACCCCACCCCACCCACACCCCACCCCACCCCACCCCACCCACATCCCCACGTTAATACATGCACAGTAATCACAAGTAAAACAAATGGACACTGTCATTATCATTGTGAACGTAAATATTTCTATCGGTTCTAACACGCTTGTAATAAATGAGTTTTCCTACGTTATCGCCCGGAAGTGACCTGCGTGTCAACAGTGATGGAAGTCTACAGTCCAGGTGGGTGTGTTGTCTCTCTTCTCTCTCACTCTCTCTGTCCTTCTACACACAGAAAACTGTTTGATATTCAGGTCAAAACGTACATGTTTATGTCAAGAAACTACCACGATGCTGAAGGTTGTACCTTTACTTTTATTCCACAAGTTATAGACATGCTATTAGTGTTAGCTGACTGACACACATTCCATTTTCGTTTTACACTGGCGAATCTGGAGAGCGTGCTGGGGATGCACACCATAACACATACCACGCCAAGCCACGTCACGCCACACCACGCCACGCCACGCATTTTCACACCACACCACAACACGCCACGCTACGCCACACCATTTCACGCCATTTCACCCCAACCCAACTCGCTTTCACTCGTTAGATACGTTTTAAAACAATCACCCCACACCACACCACACCACACCATTTCACTCCACCCCAGCCCACACAATACCACTCACTCCACACCACACCACACCACACAACCAAACACCACATCAATTCATTCAACACCACCCCACACCAGGTGTGTTGTCTCTCGTCTCTCTCGCTCTCTCTGTCCTTCTACACACAGAAAACTGTTTGATATTCAGGTCAAAACGTACATGTATATGTCATGATACTACCAGGATGCTGAAGGTTGTACCTGTACCTATATTCTACAAGTTATAGACATGATATTAGTGTTAGCTGACTGACACACATTCCTATTTTCGAATCTGGAGAGGGTGCAGGGGACACCCTACCCCATCCCACTCGACTTCACCCCACCCCATCACACGACACTCCATTTCAATCCACTCAACCCCATACAAAACCATCCCACACCACCCCATCCCACCCCACCCCACCCCACCCCACCCCACCCCACCCCACACCACCCCACACTATACCACACCACACAATTTCACTCCACCCCATCCTACACCACACCACACCACATCATTTCAGTCAGCACAACCCCAAACCACACCACACCACACCATTTCACCCCACCCTACCCAACCCCTACCCACACCACACCACACCATTTCACTCCACCCCACCCCACCCCACACCTTTTAACTCAACACCATTTCACTCCACCCCACACCACACCACACAACCCCACACCACACCACACCCCATTTTACACCATCCCACACAACACCATGCAACACCCCACAAATCACCACACCACCCCACCCTATTTCATTCCATTCCGCCCCACACCACCCAACACCATCCCACACCACCCCATAATACGCCACACCACATCACGCCATCCCACCCCACACCACCCCATTTCACTCTACCCCACCCCACCCCACCCCACACTACACCACACCACACCACACCACACTACACCACACCATTTCACTCCACACCACCCCATACCACACCACATCACCCCATTTCACTCCACACCGCCCCACCCCACCCCACCCTACCCTACCCCTACCCAGACCACAAAATTTCACTCAACACCACTCTACCCCACACCACCCCAGCCCACCCCACCCCACGGCACCCCACACCACACCACACCACACCACACCACACCACACCACACCACACCATTTCACTCCACACCACACCACACCATTTCACTCCACACCACCCTACACCACACCACATCACACCATTTCAATCCACACCGCCCCACCCCACCCCACCCCAGCCCAGACCACACAATTTCACTCCACACCACTCCACCCCACCCCACACCACCCTACACCACATCATCCAGCACAACACCATACTACACCATTTCATTCCACACAACCCTACACCATCCCACACCACCCAAAACCATCCCACACCACACAACCCCACACCACCCTACAATACACCACACCACACCACGCCAACCCATCCCATCCAATTTCACTCCACCCCACCCCACCTGACCCGACACTACAACACCACACCAAACCACACCACACAACACCATTTCACTCAACGCCATCCCGCACTACAGCACACACTCCCCAAACAATCCACACTACCCCACACCATACCAAACCAAACCACCCAGCACCACAACACACCTCGCCATTTCATTCCATACCACCCCACACCACCCCACAATACACCACACAACACAGCACCACCAAACACCACACCATTTCACTCAACACCACACCACAATACACCACACAACACCACACCACCCAACACCACACCATTTCACTCAACACCACCAAACCCCACCCCACACCACATCATTTCACTCCACCCCACCCCACACCATACCAAACGAAACCACCCAGCACCACACCCCACCACGCCATTTAATTCCATACCACCCCACACCACCCCACAATATCCCACCCCACCCCACACCACCCCACAATACGCCACACCACACCACGCCATCCCACCCCCCGCCACCCCATTTTACTCTACCCCAACCCACCAAGATACTACCAGGATGCTGAAGGTTGTACCTGTACCTTTATTCTACAAGGTATAGACATGATATCAGTGTAAGCTGACTGACACACATTCCTATTTTCGTTTTACAACGAGGTCGGGCTTCATTCATACAAGTCATGAAACGCCTTTACTCTCAATAATGTATAGAAAAATATCGCCGTGTTTGATAGAGGTAGAACATGTGCAGACATGTAGTTGCTAACGCTACACCGATACTGGCTGTATTTAGAAGACAAATACCTATAGAAGGTTTTTTTAGTCACTTGGTTTTTGTGTTCGTTTGTTTGTTTGTTTGTTGTTCAACGCCGCACTCAGCATTATTCCAGCCAAATGACGGCGGTATGTAAATAATGGAGCCTGGATCAGACGATCCATTTATTTACATCATGAGCTTCGAGCAATGCAAATGGGATACGATGCACGCATATAGCGACTGGCATGCACATGTTCTACCTCTATCACAAGACCCGGCCTGTGAAGATTCGGGTTAGAATACGTCTTCAGTAACCCATGCTTACTGTAAAAAGGATCTAACGGGATCGGGTGGCCAGGCTCGCCGACTTGGTTGATGCATGCCAGTCGCTATATGCGTGCAATAATCTTGAACGCAACGTTTAACACTGCACGACAAAAACCTGAAGATACTGTGTGAGATAAGAGTAAGGTCTTGAAACCCTAAACTGTCAACAGTGTATATAAATGATCATGTCGCCGTGTGTAATAGAGGTACCTGCAGACATGTACTTGGTCTGTAAATAATCAAGTCAGGGCCAGACAATCCAGTGATTGATATCATGAGCATTGATCCACGCAATTGGGATCGAGGACATGCATTAACCAAGTCAGCGAGCCTGACCGTTAGTCTCTTACAACAAGCATAGTCACCTTTTACGGCAAGCATGGGTTGCTGAAGACATATTCTACCCCTGATCTTCACGGGTCGTGTGATAGAGGTAGAGCATGTGCAGATATGTACCTGCTAACACTACACCGATAGTGGCTGTATTTAGACGACACGCTTCTGAACCTACTGTGTGAGATAGTAAGGTATTTTTGTCACTTTGTTATCGTGAGTCATGAAGTTTTGATGCTTATCAAGAAGGCACTTACTGGTGTAAGGTTGCTGCTGAAAGTACAGGTATAGTGATCTCTCTCTGGTAGGGTAGGGTTACTGCATGTATGCAATTAATGGCCCGTGTACTGTATAAATTGTCGTTGTTTATCCAGGAGAACAAAAAGAGTGTTGAATTATTTTGTTAATAATAGGTGTGGTGAGGTGAGAAGAGGTTAAACGTCGCGTTCAAGATTATTATGTGGGTTTAATACTACGCTTGACAAGGATCAAAGTAGTTGTGTGCTACATTTAACATTTGTCCTATGTGACGTCATCTTGTGCGAGAAGAGGCGTAGGAGTAGCCTAGTGGTTAAATCGTTGGCTCGTCACGCCGAAGACCCGGTACGATTCCCAACGTGGGTACAATGTGTGAAGCCCATTTTCCAGTGTCCCTCTCCTTGATATTGCTGGAATATTGCTTAAAGCATCGTTATTCCTCACTCACATGTTGGCACTGTTTACTCACGCATGTTTACTCATTCATTGTTCACTCAATTCAAATTACTTTAAGCATTTATCAATCAAGTTCATATTTTCTATATAGGTGTAATCTTATAAAAAATAACATCTTAAAATCCCTTCCTGTTCCTTTGAAAAACGATATGTATTTTCAATGGCCTTAATTATGTGTGATATTGGATTGATATGAATATGTGATTTGGGTTGATTGTGACAAGAGAAATGTAATTAAAAAGTAGATGTTTTTTATTTAAGGTAACGGTTTGTATTTTTATCAATAATACAATTGTCTATTAATGACCGAGAAACAAGTCTACTAGAATGAGGATGAATAGCTCAACAGAAACCAAATTTCTTGTCTTTCGGATCAGCAAGTGACCACATAATTAACATATTGTTCCTTGTATTGCACAGATGGCCTCAGAAACACATATTTTTAGCCGATTTGATAATAATACTACATATTCAGAGACACTCAAGTGGATGCTTCACTCCACAAACGCCGTATGGTTATGGATGTTACACACATACAATTGACATATGTATCTCAGTATTGTTTTGTGTCTTTCAGAATGGACACGTTCCCGAAGTGTTCCGTCTGTCATCAGGAGTTTACACTGAAAGGTCCAGTCCCCTACTTACTGCCCTGTCTACACGCCGTGTGTGAGAAGTGTGTGACATCTGCAGCTGGCGGTGTGATATCATGCTCCACATGTCAGAGGGAGGTCAACCTCACAGACACAAGTCTCCAGAAGGATGCAGTCAGACAGAAGGAAATATTCTACCTGACCGTCAAACAACGCCCCACAGAGCTCCTCTGTACATATGAAGATGACGGGAACCAGGCTGTGTGTTGGTGTCAGGAGTGTGAAGAGTTCCTCTGTCAATACAGCCAGAACATGCACAGCAGCGTCAAACTTTTCAGAAATCATGCTGTGCACAAGTTTGGGGATATAACCCACAAAAACCTTGAAAATGAAACCAATTGCAGTATTCACGAACGGTATCCACTTGATTTGTTTGACAAAAACTGCGACATGTGTATCTGTTGCCAATGTAGGAGAGGAGAGCATGGGGATCACGAGGTTGATTACCTGGATGAAGCTGCTGAAAGAGTTACACAGCGTATTGAACAACACGGCAAAGATCTGTCAGCGTTACTGTCTCGTCAGCAAACACACCTTCAGAGTATCAGACAAGAAACACAGTTGATCAACAGGACACAGGACACATTGAGGAAGACAATAGAACATACTTTCCGGTCTTTAAGATCACACCTTGACCAAAGGGAGAAGGAACTCCTGATTGATCTTGAAAGTCAGACGAGGGAAACCAAGGCAACTCTACATGCTTTTGAAACCTCACGCGAAGAGCATCATGCAAGATGCACCGACATTTCCGGTTATATCCGAAAATGTCTTCTCTATGCTTCAAAATCGGTCCTCCTGCAGCTGGAGAACACTGTTGAGGGGATGACTCGGACCTGCCTAGAAACTGCTTCACCTGAAACACATGATGTACCTGAAGCTGTCTTCAACACCAATGGATTGTCCAAACTGAAATCAGATATGTCTGGATTTGGTAACATCACTACCTTGAAAGAAGATTCAGAAGGGGGAACACCTGAGGGTATGCATATCAAAACAGTTATTGTGCTTTATTGATGATATGTGCCTACATTCCACTGAAACATAATTCAGGTGTTTCGTTTTTTGTTTGTTTGTTTGTTGTCAAACGCCGCATTTAGAAATATTCCAGCTATATTACGGCGGTCTGTAAATAATCGCGTCTCGATCAGACAATCCACTGATTGACATCATGAGCATCGATCCACGCAATTGGGATTGATGACATGCATCTAACGTGTTCCGTGGTGTTATTTTAATTAAAGCATTGTTCTCTCACTCGGGATTCACAATTTGCTTCTACAATTACAGACAAGCAAACACAAACTGATGATGACTATTTGGCGGACCTGGAACAGAAACACGAAATGGTAAGTCTAATTATATAGGGATACACGTAGGCATCGGCTCTCAGCCATTCATCCCATCAATTGTTATATATTTCATTCACAGTGTGTAAATATTTTAGAAGTCAATATCAGAACAACTGAACTGATCAAGTAGTACCACGAGGACTTTGCAGGTCCAGTCAACTGATGTATCTTGGTCACACAATAATGATATGATTGAAAGAATATATTGATACTGTTTGATTAATAAGTGTTCATGGACAGTCTCCAACTCCGACCCAAAGGTAAAATATATTTTACCTTTCAGGAGCTTGCAAAGCTGGAGTCAAATATTGCTTCACACAATGAAAGAACTGAACAACTTCAGCAGCTAACAGACAAGCTGAATGCCGAAGCAAACAACATGAAATTGGTTTGTATATCATGTTGTCACACTCATTGAGGAGAGAATGGTGAGATTCAATAGTTGTTGGTACTTCAGAATTGTCAGGTAAAGAAGGGTTGGTTTAAATATCACTTACATGTGCAACCCGTTGAGACATCTACCCCCTATTACCAAATTGCTTGACTTGTCCAGACTTGATATTGTTGAAGTTCCTGTCACAAGTTGAAGGAGTTTACAACGTCAACACAACTATTTGCATGTATCCTTACTATGAATAATAAAATCAATTGGCATATATTTATTTTATGAGCTATTCCATTTACTTATTTGTAGATGCTAGCTGAGAAAGATCAAACCTGCCAGGTCGCCTTTGAAACCATTGCTCGTCTTCAAACATCCCTGATTGGTAAGTACACTGTTCCTGGTGCTGGTCATGTTTTCACTTCCTGTCTGTGGTGTGTTCCTGGTACTGGTCATGTTTTCTCTTCCTGTATGTGGTCTGTTCCTGTTTTCACTTCGTGTCTGTGGTCTGTTCCTTGTTCTGGTCCTGTTTTCACTTCCTGTCCGTGGTCAGTTCCTGGTACTGTTTTCACTTCCTGTCTGTGATCCGTTCCTGGTACTGGTCCTGTTTTCACTTCCTGTCCGTGGTCTGTTCCTGGTAATGGTCTTACTTCCTATAGGACGTGCATTTTAGACAATGGCCTAAATGTACCAGTTATAATTTTCGCTCCAAATAAAAAGACCCAGCAGTATGTGACCCATCTTCCCGAGGCAAGAGCGTTAACTGAATGTAAAAAGACCAGTTTCCATCCTTGCCGAATTAGGCTGGAAGTTAAGGCTCGATCGTAGCGCCACCGGCGGCTATTACGGGTTATATCCCCTCTATGTCCCTTGCATCCTATTGGCCAATCGGGTTTGACCTCTCATATCGATACAGTTGCTTTAAACAAAATGGCGGCGCCAAGTCGAGACGATTTGATCGATAACCAAGATCTTTCTTGTAATAAAAAGGGTCTTACTTTGCGAAGTGCTTGAAATCACGTGAGCACCTTGGTTAAAAGCATGGAATATTTCTTTTGACGGCATGTTGACAGTACACATGTTTTGTTTATGAACCGGAGGTTGATGTCGTTACGCGATTTTGATTGGGCTATGCATAGACATAGTTAGTCCAGCTATTTCATAACTCCATAATTCCAACCTAGTTCGGCAAGGGTGCAAACTGGACTTTTATAGTCCGTTAACTCCCTTGCCTCGGGAAGATGTACTTGTATGTGACCCAGTATGACACGGTATGTGACCCAGTATGTGACCCGGTATGTGACCCAGGTACTCCTGAGTCTACACACAATTCTAAGCTGTTATTTTCTTGCAGGTTTCCCAACTGAAGGCTGTGTTCATCTGTTGAAGACAGGTGTAGCAGACAGACGCATGGTCCTGCATTGTGAGTGCCTAAACTGAAGATCCAAAAAAAGTTCACAAAATAAAATGTTGAATAACCCCCCAAAAATGCATGCAGTCAAATGTTTGTAACATGATGGAAACAATTGCCCCAAACGAAGCACACTCGCTTCCAAAGAACCAAAACCATGCAGCAATCGATGCACGTGCTGCGACCAGGAAAACGTAAACATGTTTTTTGGTGTTGTATGGTATCTGTGTAAAAGTAGACCGAAAGTGTCCGACACAATCACATGAACCAAAAACACACCGAACAAATGCCACGTTTAAATCCAGAACTGAGAGAGAGAGAGGGGGGGCATTGGTATGGCCATGGTGGGGACTCACCAATGTCAGATTGGCAACACTCGGTTGCTCACGTCAGACCATCAACAAACTCATCACACGGTACAACAGGACTGGCCACACCACCGACAGTCCTCGGAGTAGCAGACCACGTGTAACCACGCCCTTAGAAGATGTATATCTGCAAAGCTTGCATCCACGCCACCGGCAGCAACGGCGTATGGCCACCGTGTCAGCCCCCACACAGTGAGAAGACGACTGCTTGCTGTTTGCATTAGGGCATACAGACCGCTCCGTGGGGTGGTGTTGGGTCCACAACATCGCCAAGATAGACCACGGTGGGCCCGACGTGTACGACGATGGCAGCGGCACGAATGGCAACGTGTCTTGCTCACCGATGAGAGTAGGTTCAACCTATTCCATGCAGACGGGAGGGTCCGTATCTATTGCCGTAGGGAGGAAGAGCTGGCTCCTGGCCATATACAAGATCTCCATCCCCATGGAGGTCGTAGTCTCATGGTGTGGGGATTTAACGCCGCTTTAGCAATATCACGGCGGGGGACACCAGAAATGGGCTTTATTGTATTGTACCCATGTCGGGAATCGAATCCGAGTCTTCGGCGTGACGAGAGAACGCTTTAACCACTAGGCTACCCGACCGTCCCGTGCCCGTACTGCTTTGGCCCCCACGTTCTCCCATCGCGCACTTGTGGGATTATCTGGGTAGAGAGCTGAGGAGACGACCCAACCATCCAAACAACTTACAGGACCTGCAACACATTCCGGCAATCGTCATCTGACGTTTGACCCCATCCATGAGACATTGAGGCGTCCATCCTCGCCAGGGGGGGGGGGGGGGGGGGGGGGGGGGGGGGGGTCATACGCTGTATTGATGACGTCGATCCAATGGCACCTTAGTACTCGCTGATGTTTCCACCCATTTATTGGCCACAGCCTTTGTCACGAACATCTTTGGGTCTTTCATTATACATTTGATCAAATTCAATGTCAACTCTCTGTTGATCCTCAGTTTACATCATCCGTTAAGTGGATATATACCCACACATTCAGTCTACTGAATCACTGTACAGTCAAAACTTACCAAGGATGCAGCGTAGTAGACATCATTGAGGAAGTGGCATTGCTGTCATCATCACAAATACCTTTGACACACATTTGGATATATATCTTCCCCTAAGGAAAAAGTGAAACAGGCACCTTATAACTAGGGACAAGTGAAACATTAGAGTTGTGTACTATAAGTCCATGTCTATTTTGTTTTTAACTTCGGTAGACAAATCTCACACCCAAATAATTCAAAAGTGTCTCAGTTCAGACCTTGCTTAAAATCGTTCAATGGACTCTGCATTTATGATTATGGAAAGGGTTTGTCGCTTTTATTTACATTCTTTCATTGATGTCTTACTGCAAATCCTCTCTCGCGACCGCTTTATATTATACCACTGAAAACAAACAGGGCCCGGAAAACATTCACACCTGCCAGTACTAGTCCTTTAAATGATTGGATGTTTAATACTTTATCCTGTTATTATCCCTTTTATTAAAGTTTACTATTGCTGTGTTATAAATTCATAAACTTTAAAATACCAATCCTTGTCGTCACATTGAGAGCGTATGATTTTCTACATGTTTTTACTCGTGGTTATATTATTTAGTGTCTTAGTTTCTTACGTACATACTAGTATTGTAATATCATATCTTTTCTTTTTTGCATATTTAGTACTAATCAACTGTGCAAAACAGATTTCCCTTAGGATAATGAAGTTTTATCTTATCTTAACTCATAATATTCTGGAAAACTTAAGTTGTTTCTGATTTATTGACAAATAATACAAGCACAGGTAGACATAGTGTCGTCATATGAAGGTTCGAATACAAAATAAGGATACATGTTTTCAGAAGGGGTAAAGCTGGTATGAGGAAGATATGTATTTTAAAAAAATCTGTTAATCATATATTTTCATAGAAGACCCGGGGGTCTCACGAGCAAATACAATCCTTGCTCCATACAGTTTTTATAGACGATAGGATGATGTCAAGGGAGTGTATTATCCCCCGCCACAAAGTGGGGTGTGCATACTGCGTGAATTGGGACACGTTTGCTCAGAAACTACAGACCTTAATGAATGAAACTTTGTAAATCTCTAAAGACTGAGTTCGAAAATGTGTCTCCTCATTAATACTTTTTAGAGAGTCATGGCCGAAGCTCCGTGTTTTGTTCAACTAATTGCAAACTTTGTGCAATGGGGGAAAGTTTTCACAGAAACTTCTGAAGTCACTCGAATGAAAGATTGCAGCCTTATCTAAAGGATACTTGTAAAGACTGAGTTCGAAAATTGGTCCCATAAATTATCTGTTTACAGACGTCTGGCCCTTGATCCAGGTTATTTTACTTGGTGCACAATGGAGACATGTTTTCCAGAAAATCCTGGAGTTAGCTTATTTGTTGTTTAACACCGCACTCAACAATATTCCAGCGATGTGACGGCGGTATGTAAAGAATCGACTCTGGATCAGACAATCCAGTGATTGACATCATGAGCATCGATCCCACAACTGAGATACGATGACATGCATCAACCAAGTCAGGGAGCCTGAACCCTCGATCCCGTTAGTCGGGTCCAAAGATATACTTATCAAGACCGAGTTATTTTTTCTAGAGATGTGGCCTTTTGTGTGTATTAATTTCATATGTAATTAATTTTTCTTATGACATAAAGCGGCGTCAGTGACCATCTCTTTTTGAGGCTTCATGTGACTTTTTTATACTTAATATTTACTACTGTATGAACAAACAAAATTCTATTGTGCCCCATGGCGAGGAGTGATGCCATTGTTTTCATTTTAGTGTAGAGGTGATCTTCCTTATAATTAACAGAATGTTCCTTGTTTATTGTGTTATGGTTTGTGTCCTGTACTGATAATGCTGCCTGCCTACTATCTCCCAACGTCAACCCGCCGAGACACGTGGGTACACAAGCCCCGACATTGAAACACCAGGTCACGGGACACTGTGATCTTATCATTGTTTGACATGCAATCTATATGTCCCTCGATATACCACGTTGACTCGTATAAGATGGTATACGCCTGTGATTGCGATTATTCGACCTCTGAATGTTTATCGTGTCTGTTTATCCCTGTTTTTTAAGTTGTTGTTTTTTCAGATTTATATCAAGTCTGATCACTGAATGATGAAGTCTTGTGTCTACCGCTCTGATTCATTTCGTAACTTACGAACCATTCACTAGATCTCGGGG